TATTGATCCTACGTTATGTGTGGATTATTGTCAGCATGAGATGGTAGTGGATTTGGATCTACAGGCACAAGATAATATCTGTGTCCAACACCAACCCTGATCATAGGTGTCAGATTTGACAATAATAAAATTTTCCTTTTGCAAAAATGTGATCGGGTGCTCTTAACACATCCCTTGTCTATAGAATCTTTCTACAAATGAGACACCTCACATAATTTGAAAGGCTTTGGACAAGCGAGAGGCTTTAACCAGTGTTGGAATTTGGTCATTAGCTAGGCCAACATTATTAGCCAGAATGGTCAAAGAAACCAAGATATGAAATTTTTTTTTAAATCAACGATCATCCATGTCCCAAAAGCCGGTCTTTTAAAAGAGTCATCCCATTGACTTGGGCATAACGGTTCACTAGTGGTAGTTGGCCAATGCCTAGATGCAAGCAGCCAAATGCCAACACTGGCTTTAGCAGTCTTGACGATGATGCAGTCGGAAACTCCAGGGCCATACTACCCCCCCCCTAGAATTATTGCATTGTCATATCATCGGGGGATGAGGTCAGTTTAGCCTTATGTATGTACGCGAGGAAGAGGTGAATAACTGTAGATTTTCATAATCGAATAGGTTGTTTCTTGGTGTTTCAGATTGTCCGGCAGTTTCCAATGTGTGTGTGATCTTTGGTTACGTTGTTTTTTTTCATCTGTCGCTTCTTATAATCATTTAATATTATATACAAATCGTTTATGGTGATATATAATTATCCGTAATGTAAAAGACGCTCCACATTTATGACATCAATATGAAAAAATAAATCTTTGGCAGTTAGTTAAAAAACATGTCTTCAAAACCGTACCTTCGCGTTCTAAAAAAAAAAAAAAAAAAATTAAATTGGGTTCGTACTACGCTACGCGTCTTAAATAATATTTTAACGCCTTTTTGTTTCACCTTAAAAAAAATATAAAAGAAATTTTAAATTTTAAAAATGTCTTTTGAGTGCAACAGAGTCAGGAGAATAAGACAGAAAACTACAGAACTAGCTGATTCGAATAAGTAAGTATTGAGCCTTTCTTGGTGTGGTGATTATTGATCATTCTAGTTTATCTGCAAATTAATAAAAAAAAATTTTTCTTATTTCTATTATTTGATTTTGCAAAAATACTTGGTCCCAGTCCATCCTCCTCATTAACATATGGTCATGA